TGTTTGTGTTGTGTTTATATATTTATATATATATATACGTATAAAACCTTATTTATTTAAATTTAACAGGACATATAAAAGTGCGAGTATTCTGGACAAAATTTACATCTACAATGTACATACTACTTGGCAACACTCGAATGCGTTTATTCTCATAACCAGGGTGAACAAGCAACGTACTACCTGAAGCGTTAGATTTATTGTTGTGAAGTATTCTGAATTTATTTTTTATACAATTCAAGTATCATATACTCATTTGTCCTCATAGTTTTGGTTTGCCACTTGCATTTTCAATAAGCTCTATCAGCAGCACCTCACAAATTGACTACCTACGTGGAAAATACTATTTATATCTTAGAAGTTTACTTACGTATACATATTAATCAGCGATACTTACCTGATCATTCATATCTTCTTCGACGACAATATCGACACTGCATTTACAGAAATTCGTCGCAGCGGCAGTCTGATTGTTTAGAACAATCGAAGCGCACGTCTGTCCAGGGTTATCAATCGACATGCACTCGGTGTAGTCAACTTCATAATGTTTCACCTAAGATATTCGAAGGGAGAGAATATAAAATAGACATGAGCTTCAATTTTAGACCTCCTAAAACAATAGAAAGTACGACGGGCCGTAAACTCGTTCTGTGAGACGACAGGCACAGCGAGAGAGATCCCCCACCATTTGCTATGAAGCATGTGCGCCATACATTAACGACAGGTAGAACAGGTAGCTCCATATACTGCTGGCTTGTTGTACTTTGAAATAAAAGCACATAAATTCATACACTGTTAGATGTCAGGAAGAAGACCACGCCCAGCGGGATGAAACATAGGCCCACAATAAAGAACACAGGAAGCACTGATTTAGGCGTTAAAATGGGCTGCCACGCTCGCAGCTTCTGCTGTTTGAAGGCGACATTGGCGGGTCTCTTGGAGACCTTTTTCTCTTCTTTTTTCCTCCTACGCATACTGGCGTTCTATATTGCGAGATGTGTGCAAGTCTGGGTAGGTTTTCTGTTTTATGTTGAAGTAAGTAATGTCAAAGCTTATCGCAGATAGGAGATATCATCGGACAATTAGTGTGCACACAGTGAGGTACATAAATTATTTCCCTCTTTTTAGCGAGACAGATCTCGTAGCAATAGCCATTGCCCGTGTGGACAGTACGCTGTCCTAAACATAAACAGGAGTGAACCTAATAATATAGTTTTGGGCCTTCTCGCTTGACAACAAGCCTACGTGCTTGCACTATCTGGCTTTATCCACAATTTCATAGGCCCAATTGTCTTGATTTCAATAAAAGTGAGAGTCCCAAGTTAAAACTGTCCTACCCGTAGTGCTTTACAGTCGGGATTTGGCATATGAATTTTGACCGATTTCAACTGGTCCATTAAACTATATTTTTGTACTATTTATTTCCAGAAAATAGAGGGTTTTAGAGTGCGTGAACGGCAGTGAACCTGGAACCACATCGGGTGCTCGGCAGAGGACCGCAAATGTGAACTCGTGAGTGTAAAAAGCCATGTATATATATTTTTTGTAAAGATGTAAATATTGTGGATACAGTCATACACCAGCCTTTATTGCGTTCAAGGTGACTAAGCTTACAAATTGTATATTCGTATCGTATAGTAATTGATCAATATGCAGCAGCCACAAACAGCCGAGGAGCAAACTTCTCACTTCGTCAATCCAGTTTCAATGGCCCACAACTTGAAAGAAGTTCAGAGAGTGTATGTACTCTAGTAAACGATTGTGATTATTTCAAAAGTTTTAATGCTTGAACTCGATAGTTGTTTACACTTATTAATCTTCAGCGGATCGTAACAATTATTAAGACATAGTTCAATTTATATTTGTATTCATATTTATATTTATATATATTTATATATATATATATA